TGAGCAGGCTAGAATTCCTTTTTCTATACCACTATTAAAGGTACAAGAATTCTATTCTCCTTTGCTCCTAGTCTGTCTAGAGAGAAAGGAGAAAGGCAGAATCTGCCCTTGTGGCCTTAACAGGACTGATACATCTTTTCATGCCCTGCTGGAATGCAGATTTTTTGAGATTATGAGGTATTGCTATAGTAAGCCTTTATTCAACCAGTCGTCCCCCGTGCTCCGGAAACCCTGGCTCTTTTGCTCAGTGGTAAGGATCCCAAGATCACTCTAGCAATTGCAAAATGCGTCACAGTCCTTTTAGCCCTTGCATTTAAAAAAATAAGAAATAAGTGTTTCCTGCTGCTCAAGCTTCGTGAATCAATTAGCTTCTTAGGGTACAAAAGGAAAGGAAAGAGATAATGCAAACCATTAGGAGGAGGATGGGATTAAAGGTGGATCCAGAGTCTGAGAACGTTAGAGGCTGCAGGGCTAGACTTAACACACACACCCCCGAAGCTTGGAGGGAGGGGAATGTTTTCCGTTGTGGTGCTTCCCAACCTGCAGTGTGATGGGGTGCGTGTATCACATGTTGCTTCTGCATGTTTGAGCTGGATCTTTGCCTTTGGCTTCTTAGGGCTGAGATTTAGATTGGAAAAGGCCGTGCTTTTATTTCATTCATTTTTCTTCCTTCCTTTATTAAAGTACTTGCAACCCACCTTTCCTTGAGGCTCAAAGCAGCTTTCGTGCCACAGTTAAAACATTACGGTTTTGAAACTAATCGTTTAAAATTGAGAATACTCCCCTCACCAAAAGATGTCAGCCGTTTATACCCCATTGAAAGAGCTAAAATAAAGAGGCCTTGTAGTACCGCTTGAAGATTCACTTTTGGGTGTGGTTTGCTTGCTTGCTTGCTTGTTAGTTTGATTGATTAAATATTGCAGTGTGGCCTGAACCCTAGGCATTGGGTGAGATACAGGTATTCATTTAATCAACGATAAAACCTTGCTTTGGGGTCCAAAAGAGGCCAAATCGCATTCTACATGTAGTCTATTCCTTTGGAAATGCCAGCTATGCATCGTTTAATGTCCATTACCTAATGTCAGGATCGACATCCCCACCCCATTCCTGGAATACTTGGCTATGCAAGTAAAGCCATTCAACTGATTCATAAGAAGTCAGTGATATGATGACACAGCTGATAAGAATATGCCAAGGTCTGTATGGGGCTGGAGAAGGACTTGTAAGGCTGATTGGAGCAGATTTCCCTGTTTCTTTCCCCTCCTGTAGGGAGGGGCTGTGAGTCAGTGGTAGACCATCAAGGGGAGCATGCAGAAGACCCTAGGTTCAATCCCTGGCCTCTCCGGTTAAAGGATCGGGCAGTAGGTGATATGAAAGACCTTGGCCCGAGACCCTGGAGAGCTGTTCCCAGTCTGAGTACTGACTTTGATGGACCAAAGGTCTGATTCAGTATAAGGCAGCATTATGTGTTCACTGTCCTAGAACACAGAAGGGCTGGTTTGTGCATCACGCAGCAGAAGGAACATCAAGGAACAAGTTGCCTTGGTAACCAAAGTAATAAATAACCTTCTCTCTGCTTGCTAACTGATCTGGTTTCCTGGAGCTAGCAGAGTGTCAGGGAACCCAGCTGAGTAACAAATGTTAGGAGTGAGACGTGAGGCATTACACAGCTAGTTTTATACCAAGTGAAAGGAAGACGGCGTCGCAGCAAAACGAAACTGCTTTACATTGCAGATGCAGATTGGACCTTAGTTGTAACTCTTGTGTTTGGAGTACAGAAAGCAGTTGCATGCAATTTCCAACCCCCACCCATATGCTTGTTGGTCTTACACCCAGAAATGGATCCTGGGTTTAGAGCTCTTCAGGCAAGTCTTTCTAGACATCTGTTTGATATAGTTGAAACAAGAATCAGGTCTAGGAAGAAAAAAAGTGTGGGGAAGTCAGATTTATCTTGGAATAACAAAAAGAGTTCTGAAAATAAGGCTGGCTCTGAGAGCTCATTTCACTGCTGTTGAGTAGATAAATAGGGATGGATGATGGCCAGTGGATCTAGCTCAGAGGTGCAAATATCTTGCATACTGCACTTCTAGGGTCAGCTATACCTCTGTAACTACATACTGTACTGGCTTCTCTTGTTTCATTCAACACTCAGTTTTATGTAGATCCCACATTGCCTATCTAACAACAGCCGGGAGTGGCCCATGCCTGTTCTATGAAATAATTTCTTACTCACTTTGGTTCTGTATATAAATGGAATAACCAAATAGAAGTACACTTCAATATATCTGAGGTAGTAAACACTGGCTTGCATAAATTTATGCTGGCATAAATTCTGTTAGGATCTAGAGTGCCACTGGACTCCTTTTTGTAAATTATCTTAGAGAATCTCTGACAAATAGGGCTGTTGCCATTTCCATTGGAGCCGCTTTGCGTAGGGCTCTTTTTGTAGCAGGAACTCCTTTGCATATTAGGCGACACACCCCTAATGTAGCCAATCCTCCAAGAGTTTACAGAGCTCTTCTTACAGGGGCTACTGTAAGCTCTAGGCTACATTAGGGGTATGTCACCTAATATGCAAAGGAGTTCCTGCTACAAAAAGAGCCCATACTGACATAGAGATGAAGGTGGGGAGGGGGGAGGCTGCACCTGTTTAACTGCTGTGTGCAACTGCTTATAGTTAAAGCACTGGAGCAGGACCAGAATTAAAAATGGCAACCTCCCAACGAATGGCCAGGCACATCTTCTTGGAGGTGACTACTGCTCAAGTGCTGAACACTAGTTCTGGTGAGGATGTTAATAGTTAGATCGAAATGGAGTTCCCTGTTGTTTAAAAAACAGTAGCATCACTTGGCTTCACTGCACTGGCCGGATAATTGTTCTCCCCCATTCCATTTTGGGTTTGTCAGAAAGCTCTTTAGCTGTGCTGAAACTATAGGGCACCCACTTTCACCTTCCTTTGTTTAGGGCAGGGAGAATAAACTTTTGTACTGGGAGGGGGGCAGCAATCTGTTCCCAAGATGCTGGAACAACCCTGTCCCCTCAGAGATGTTCAGGCTTTATAATAAAATCAGCATTGTCAACCAGTAATGACACAGTCTTGGATGATATGAAGCCACCAGCCACAGTGGAGCAAGTGTTGAGGAGCCAGTACATTTACTGAAGGTTCCTTCGAGGGGTGGATGTTTCTCCAGAATGTGAGATTACAGTACGAAAAAGAATGAATATGAAATACACGTAATCTCAACAGCAAAACTGTGAGCACAATTTTCCCCACACACATTATTTATTTATTTGTATTGTCACAAAGGGAGAGAGCACAGATTTAGGTACTTTGAGGGCCAGGTCATGTCCATCCCTACCTTAGGACACACAAGCTGTACTCAGAGGATCTGCTTTCCTGACCTTTTTTATTTCCTCAGTAACAACCCTCTTCTGGATTCCCTCTCCAGCTTGTTGACAGCCCACAATAGAAATGATGTCAACTTCATGTCAGACCTGCATAAATTTGCCTCTTCTGGGGATCCAGATAAATTTGGCTTGCAGGAGACGGCAGGAACTCTGATCAAGCTAGTTCCCTAAGGGGAGGCTGTGATAAACTCTGCCTCCATTACAACCCAGAACCCACCACAAGGATCATTTCCCATCTCTTTCTTCAATCTGATGCCTGTGGCTGAACTTGGGATTCCTTTGGGATGTGTTATGATCAGTGCTGAGCATATTTTGCACAAGTGCAGACAACGCAAGGACTTTGTTATTGGGTTCGGATTTCTTAATCTTAGCTTTTTTTAACACAAGTTCCTAGTCCTCATGGATGTAAAGACCAGCATGAAAGTGTGTTAAATCTTTATAGCCAGAGTGAAGTTCAGTGGGTGTTTCCATTGCATATTTCCTTGCCCTTCCTGTAGCTAGCAGAGAGCAAGTATGAAGGATACAAAGTTTGTAAAGTTTTTGGGAATATATTTAGTTTGCATAATTTATCCATGACAACAGTTCAGCATGTGTTGGAGGATTTGGGTTGACAATACAGAATCTTTGAGGGTTCTTGGGGCACACAGACAAGTGTCCACCAGACCTGCCAATGTTCCCCCCCCCTCCTTCTTTCTGCTAATGAGGACTTTGTTTTGTCTTTGGGTTGACTTCCTCCCACCACCTGTTGCAGGTGGCAGTGCCAGATCTGCTGAAAGCTTCAGCCGATGCTGACATCCTCCTCTTCGTAGTACCGCATCAGTTCATCGGGAAACTCTGTGACCAGCTGAAAGGCCACGTCAAGAAAGAAGCAATAGGGGTTTCACTCATCAAGGTGTGAGTGGGGAGAGGGTGTGGGCTCCATTCTGAACATGAGCAGGGGGCTCTAGCCAGCTGCAAGGTATTGATAGCTAGGTTTGGAGCTATTCTAGCAGCTAACCGGGGCAGGTTTAAAAGGGTTTGTTTGGGTGCGCAGAGAACCTGGTTTTTGGATTCTAAAGTGTGGTGGTAGAAGGTGGGGGAAGTACTTATTGTGGAACTGTTTATACAGATGGAGCTGCGGTGGCTCAAGTGGTTAAGACGCTGAACTGCAGGCTGTGGAAGGTCAGTAGTTCAGCAGTTCGAGACCCGAGTTGCCGCATGACGGAGTGAGCTCCTGTCTCTAGTTCCAGCTCCTGCCAACCTAGCAGTTCGAAAGCAAGAAATTGCAAGTAGATAAATAGGTACCACTTCGGTGGGAAGGTAACAGCGTTCCGTGCGCCTTGGTGTTTAGTTATGCCAGCCACATGACCACGGAAACATCTTCGGACAGCGCTGGCTCTTCGGCTTGGAAACGGAGATGAGCACCGCAACCCTAGAGTCAGATTCGACTGGCTTTCGAGCAAGGGAACCTTTACCTTTACCTTTACCTTATACAGATTGCAAGATCATGTAAATGTATCGCTGGCAGGGGGAGACAGAACAGGCATCAGAGATTTCGGAGGAGGCAGTATTCTTGGTGAGAGAGCTAGGAGACAGGAAAATGGCTACTTTGCAATCTTCCATAAACAATTCCCAGAGGACACACACAAACTGCAGTTATGGAACTAATGCAACTGCAGATATGCCATCTCTTCTTTCATAACAGAGTATCTCTTGGATTGTTGGTCAATACTTGTAAATACATATTTGGAGTTTGAACTGGGTGGGGAACTACAGGATACCTTCACAGGGAGCACATGTGGGAGGCCTGGTGTTGACCTCTTGAGCCAAAGCTGGGCTTAGCATGGTCAGGCCACAGGGTTGAAGATCAAAGACCAGTGCAGGACTGTCAGGGTATCCTACTGAGCCACCCTGACATGTGTGTGTTTGGTTTGCAGGGTGTCGATGAAGGCCCAGATGGGCTAAAGCTGATATCAGACATTATCCACGAACAGCTGGGCATTGAGATGAGTGTGCTAATGGGAGCCAACATTGCCAATGAGGTGGCAGATGAGAAGTTCTGTGAGACCACAATTGGTAATAAGTTTGAACATACCATTCTTGATGGGAAGGTTGTTATGGAGGCCTCTGATATATTCTTTGCCCCAAATTCTTGAGACGTTTCTCCACTGACCCTCCGCCCGCCATGTGCTTCTGGGTCTGCTGCAGCTCTGTCTAACAGCTCCATGTGGCGATTGTGTGTGCTATGGATACACTGGGATGTACAGTGGTGATATATGAATGATCTCTTACACTGGACCATATACCTTTTAAATCCCGATGTTGCAGGACAGCCTCTTTCCTTTCTAATTCTGTGAATCTACCTTCGTTCTCCACCTGCTATGAAATTGCAGGACTCTATGTGTGTGTGTGTTTCACAGCAGATGGAAGATGAATGGTAGAGCCAGGAAGGAAATGAGGCATTCCTGCAGCATAAGGAGAATTAAAGGGGCCGATCTCAAGGCTAAGAGGTGGCAGTTCTAGGCTTTTGGGGGCAGGGCAGAGAGTTCCCAGTGTCCCACTCTGCCTCCCACCAGCCCCCCTGCTAACATCTCCCTTTCCGCCTACCTGCTTGTGCATTTTCCCCCTGCTCATGAGCCTCCCCACCACCTGCACTCACCGCTGCTCTCACAGCCTGCATGTCTTGTACCAGATGGTGCCGCTGGGCCATGGATACAGCTGGGGGTGCTCCTGCCATGGCTTCTTCTAGGAGTGCCCCTGTTGAGCACCAAGCTGAGCAGCTCCTATTGTGCTACAAGCCAGGACTGCAGGAGCCACTCGGACTCGGCCACTGGCGTCAATGAGGGCTGCTATTGCACCCACTGGCTCCTCCTGCCAAGCTGTGCGAGCCGGCCCAGTCACTACTGCTGCTGCTGCTGCTGCTGCTGCTGCTGCTGCTGCTGCTGCTGCTGCTGCTGCTGCTGAAGGGTCCAAGACAACTAGCTGCTGTGGTGCTGGCAGAGCAACTTGCTTGCTCATGGTTGCCAGAACAGCGCTCCAGGGCAGCAGCCCACTGGTGATTTCGCCTGTAAGTTCGATGGCCAATCCGCCCTCGGGGGTTCCTCTACTGCACACCCCACCAAGGTCTATTCACCTCCAAAGGAGTCTCCAGAGTTTCCCAGACTTCTCAAAGTCCTGCTGTTGTCACAAATACCCATACAGCTTTACAAAGCAAATGTTTCACTCTGCATGAAACGGTTACCTTCTGTTGGCGGTCTTAAAAGTCGGTAAAAATTCATTGGTTGAAGATACATCACTGACTGCAGAATTAGAAGGGGTGTGATGTTGCGATAACTGAGCAAGCTGTTTGGAAAGGCAACTCCCTTGAGGGACTCACTGTCCCTGTCTGTGGCAATTTTCATCCTTGTCTGAGCCGAGTCCAACAGATGATCTCAGAATGGAGTTTCTCCATTCACTCAAGATGTCCTTTTCCCTGCTTGTACCTATCCTCCTTTCCCCCTGCATCCTGGAGATCCAAAAGCAGTGCCCACACAACCACTTTCCATTCATCCTTTTACATTGCTTCTGCTGAATAACAGTAATAACATGTTAGTAATAACATGGGACAGATTGATTTCCTAGGCAGTCAATTGCTCAATGACAGAGCACATGCATTGCATGATCCCTGGTAATATCAGTAAGAGGCTAAGAAAAACCTCTGCCTGATACCTTGGAGAGTCATTATCAGTCAGAGTAGACAGCACTAGGCTACATGGACCAATGGCCTGACCTGAATATAAGACTGCTTCATATGTCACCTTGCAAAGGTAGCAATATTTTGTTCTATTGATGTCTGTTCTTTGCATCTTTGCAGGTTGCAGGAATGTAGAACATGGACAGATCCTCAAAGACCTGCTGCAGACACTCAATTTCCGAATCACAGTGGTGCAAGAGGCAGACACTGTAGAGCTCTGTGGTGCCCTCAAGGTATGGGACTAGTCACAGTCTCGAGAGATTAGTGTTTTTTGGTTGAGGTTGTGGCCTGTTACCAAGGGAGGCCCACGGTCACACACTACATTAGTGCTGTACTGAAGAATTTTGTCTTTCCTTCACCCAAAACTCATACCAAGGTCACTGAGGTCAAGGCATTGTGCGGGGAAACACAGGCTATTGCTAGGGACCTAAAGGTAACTGAACGTTGGGGTTTTCCAACATGATTTATTCTGTGTTATACTTAACTGGAGATGGCTTAGTCCCATGGAAAGACACCCATCTCTGCAACATTCCTATGAGTTCCATTGTTTGTTGCCCTGCTTGGAACTCCAAGGGCTAGACTGTCCACCACTTATCTGCATGTCTGTTTTAAGAACACTACAAAGCTAGCACAGGGCAGAGCCTTGCTGACAATGAACATGTTGTCTCCATCCTCTCCCTCAGAATGTGGTGGCTGTCGGTGCTGGTTTCTGTGATGGCCTGGGCTTTGGCGATAATACCAAGGCAGCCGTGATCCGTCTGGGCTTGATGGAGATGATTGCTTTTGCCAAACTTTTCTGCAAGGGCCCTGTCACTTCTGCCCCCTTCCTGGAAAGCTGTGGGGTTGCTGACCTCATCACCACTTGCTACGGGGGCCGGAATCGCAAAGTAGCAGAGGCTTTTGCCAAGACTGGCAAGGTGAGTGACTCAATGTGGTCTGGCAATGTTGAAAGGTGGCCAGAGATCCCTTGAGGGGTGCTGTTACGACAGAGGATTCTTTCCAGCACTCTAAAACAGCATTGACTTTTTCCCTGCCTCAGTTAATATTGGGCATTTGTAAGTACTGTCAAGCGTTCCACACATTTAGTGTGTGCGTGTGCGCTCGTAAAGTGCTGTCAAGTTGCAGCTGACTTATGGTGGCCCTGTAGGGTTTTCAAGGCAAGAGACGTTCAGAGGTGGTTTGCCATTGCCTGCCTCTGTGTAGCAACCCCAGACTTCCTTGGAGGTCTCCCAGCCAAATACTGGCCAGGCCAACCCTGCTTAGCTTCCAAGATCTGGTGAGATCAGGCTAGCTTGGGCCAACCAGGTCAGGGCAATGTTTCACATATCTTTATAAAAATGTTATTCCCCGTGCCGCAAAAGCGAATGAGTGGCTTGCCTGAAGCTGCCTAGTTTGCTACCATATGAAAGATTCTCAGTGTAGTTTTCGTTGCCACTCCCAATGCTGAGGCGTCCGCAGTGGCAATAGAAAGTCCACGTGGCTGTTTTCTGTGCTCTGCTCTTGCCTCAGCTGCCTGCAGCCACCACTCCCACCCAAGCAACCAGAGGGTTTGGGGTGCTTTAAAAACTGCTGTAGAGATTGGGCAATCCTCAGGTTTCCATTTTTAAAAGCCCTCTAGTGGTACCAGAGGGGATGGTAACTGGGGGGAGGGGCTGAGGCAAAATAGCACTGATAGGGTCTTTAAAAATGAGCAGAAAATGCACATTTGGGTTGCAATCTTTGCCAAAGTATCTTATCAAACCAGGTTTTGGAAAGACTGGAGTAAAGCAGGGGAAACCTGGAAAGTGGATGATTATAGTACAATGCCATGTATATGCAACACAGAAATCCCAATGCAATTTGGATGCCAAACCAGAATAAAACCTCCACATGGAAGCAATCTGCATGAGTTAATGGCAGAGGCAACATCTTCAGAATTGAGACTACCTGCTTCATACATCAGTTTCTTAGCTACTATGCTGCACTAGCTTGTTCTTCAGCATCTTTTGCTTCTCTAATTGTAATCTGATAACTATAGTAACAAGTTTTACTTGAAGGTACCCAATCCATTCCTTTTATTGACTCTCCATCTTCCTCTAAACTGGCTCCGGCAGTGTTGAGTAATGGGCAGGAATGTCTGAACCAAATGTGGGGTCACTGCATGTACAGAGCAGCAGGAATCAGTGGAAATGGGAGGGTGGCTGGGCACACTTGCTGAAGGGGGGGCGGGGGGGCTGAGGCATGAACTGACAGAGGGATCAGGAACCTGATTGTACTTCAGAAAGCAGAATCTGAGACTATGTTGGCACTGAGTGTTAGGGTGGTAATGGTTTGAACTGAGACCACCCAGTCTGACCCTTCCCGAAAAAGATTTTAAACTTCAAATAGGATACAGTGTATAATCCTTAAGTCCCAAAGACAGCACTTATTTTTTAAATGTTGGGAAAGTTAATCATTGTGCAAGCAGAGAAGAGCTGGAATTATCTGGAGGTTAAGGCACATGTGGAGAGAGATTAAAAAAAAAGCATTGGATCTGTTCAGCTTGGCAAAGTGAGATTGTCACAGTTCCTAGGGAAAAAATAACTGGCATTAAAGTTATTTTCTGCACAGAAAGAGGGCAGGGCAAAAGGTAGCAGCTGAGAGCAAATGCTAGCAGATAAAGCCTACTCTTTGCCTGAGAGAGCAATCCCAGCCAAGGGTGGAATGGCTATTCCACACCTTGCAGTCTGCAAATGGGCACAGTTCTCCAAGAGGTCTGTTTTACAGAGCTGGGTTTACACTGTACCAAATGTGAAATATCCTTTGTCAAGGGCATACAGCGTCTTTCTTCTGAGTGTTCTATAACATTTTGCAATGTTTGTTCTGCCTGCAACACTGGGGATTTCACAGGATTTGGGATTTTTGGCAGAGGCTGGTGTGGCAGAGGTCAAGGAACAATAGGAGGCACAGTCAGGTCAGGGAGTATGGGCAAAGAGAGCCGAATATCAGGAGCAGCTTAACCGTGCAAGGAACCCAAGTGTGTTTTTTCAGGGGAACTGTGAAGCAGATAATCCAAAAAAGAATACCACAGAGTCCCTTGCAGCCAGATTTTGCAGAAGATTGAGTATTCAATACAGCCTCAGCAATACTGGAATGAAATACTCCATAGAGACACTGCCCAGACTACCTGGGCCTTGGCAAGACCTAAATATCAGGAGCAGCTTAACCGTGCAAGGAACCCAAGTGTGTTTTTTCAGGGGAACTGTGAAGCAGATAATCCAAAAAAGAATACCACAGAGTCCCTTGCAGCCAGATTTTGCAGAAGATTGAGTAGTCAATACAGCCTCAGCAATACTCAAATGAAATACTCCAGAGAGACACTGCCCAGAGTACTGGGGCCTTGGCAAGACCTGGAGAGGAGACAATTTGGCAAGCCCATGAACACTATTTTGTGCTCTAGGCAAAAAAATGTTCAACCTAGAGTAGATATGCCCTAACAGTTGTGGTACCTTCAAGACTGATCAATTTACTGTGGAATAATCTTTCTTAAACAGTGATGTTTGTATGCCATTTAAGTGTCATGGTCCCTCAAGGAATACTGGGAACTGTAACTGGTGAAGTTGTGAGAATTCTCTGTCAGAGATATTTAGTGCCTCTGCCACACCACCACCTCAAGGAGGAAGTTTTATTATTTACTAAGAATAAAGCTCGTTGTGGAAATAAATACAACGAGCTCTAGAAAGAGGCTCTGGGTGGGGGCCCTGGCCTTGGGCACTCAGTGTCAATTTTCTGTGGTGACCTCAGCAGGGTATAATGATACAGAGCTTACCATTTTCTCCGAGGGAACTGATCTCTGCCATCTGAAGAGCAGTTGTCATTCTGAGTGATCTCCAGCCCTCCCCTGGAGATTGTATCCAAAGGAGAGCACACGGGAGGAGGTTGCATCAATACACAAACACTCCGTGTATAAATTACAAACAGAAGTAGAAAGAATATATTATTCAAATCAATTTTAACAGTTCAAATACTTATCAAGTTCAACACACACTCTTATATTTTCTAAAAGGGTTAGGAACTAACCCCTTAATACAAAGGACAAATTTCAAATAAAGTCCACTAATCCTTTGTATGAGATGCTTCAGGAGAACAAAAGTTCCACAGGAAAACAAAAGTTCCACGTCTGTTGGAGTAGCAGCTATGCACGACTAGCTTCAGTGTCGTGTTTGCTTCCTGCTTCTTCAGATAGCTGGTACTCTTTAGCTGTGAAACTGAAAGTATATTTCTATGTCATACCTATTATTTACAACAAATGTACCATTTTTTGTTCTCCTGAAGCTCTCCTGGAGATTGGCAACAATGGTTCCCCAAGAGGAAACGGCTGGTTTGGAGGGTGGAGTCTTTGACATCATACCTGTCTGAGGACCCCCGTCAAATCTCACCCTCTCCAGGCTTCACCCCTCAAATCTCCAGGAATTTCCCAACCTGGAGGTGGCAACCCTATCTCCTTCCCAGCCAGCCATCAACCTACCTTTATCTGTCCCTCTGACTTCAGCTTTCCATCTCCCCACCACCACCTGCAGCCTCTGCCTAGGAAAAGTAGTCTTTCTCCACAGTGGAGACTCAAGCAGGAGGGAAGCAACATCAGCAGGGTATAATGACAGAGTCCACCTGCAAAGTAGCCATTTTTTCCAGGGAAACTGAGCTCTGCCATCTAGAGAGCAGTTGTAATTCTCAGTGATCTCCAGCCCTCACATGGAGAAGGGCAGCAACAGTTCCCCAGGAGAAAATAACTGCTTTGGAGAGTGGACTTTATGGCATTCTACTCAGCTGAGGCCTCTCCCCTCCCCAAACCCTGGCTTCTGCAGACTCTACCACAAAATCTCCAGGAATTTCCCAACCTGGAGCTGGCAACCGTAGTCAGGACTGGCCCAAATGTGTTTCCCACAAAGGCCTGGAAAGGGCCTCCTGGCTTTGCCTTTTTACTACCAGAACCAAGCTTGGTTGCCTAGCAACAGTCACTGAGGGAAAAGTTAGTCCCGTAGGAGCCAAGCAGAAGTGTCTTCATCAGGAGAGACAGTCGATTTGGCAGTTATTCTTGCAGGGAACAGTGGCTGAGGCGGCAGTGGGTGGGGAAGAGGAGTGGACCCAGCACCCAGCCGAGGGCATGTGAGTACTCTTGATTGGTGGTTGATGGGCCAATGGCTGATGGAGCGCACAGCACAGCCAGTGGGAAAGCTGGAAATGTCCAATACATTAGGGTAATTATATATATCAGATTACAGTCTTCCTACAGACAGTCTTTCAGCCATAACTGCTCCTGAGGTGGTTTATAATAAAAATAGATAATGCACACAAAATGCACATGGAAGCTTATACCCAGAATTAAACTTTGGTGGTCTTAGAGGTGCCACTGGACTCAAACTTTGTTCTGTTGCTTCAGACCAACATGGCCACCCACCTGAAAAAAAAAATAGAATTATTCTTAGTTCTGCCACTAAACTCAAACTTTGTTCAGTTCTGCTGTAATGGCAGAAGAGGGTAGAGCTAGGAAAGGGGTATCATGGTCAGTCCCTCTCTCCATTCTGCAGGGCTATCGCTGTTTCTTTCTCCACGAGACCTATTCTATGGCATAGGAAACAGCATCCCTCTTCTATGAAAAGATGCTGTAGAACTGAGCTCACTGCATGGTTCAGGGGTGTTTGAGGCACAGGTCAATCCAGCGCACAGTTTCCCCTGAGTGTAGATTAAAAGCTAAGAGAAATAAATCTTTGCTTGGATTGTTGAAATATCAGTCATCTTACCCATTCTGTGCCCATTTAGTTTGGAGAGAAGGGGGCAATTAAAAAAGGGTTGTGTGGCATTCATACTGGGCATTTCTGCATCTTTGCAGTCTATCGAGCAGCTGGAGAAGGAGATGCTCAACGGGCAGAAGCTGCAGGGCCCTCAGACATCAGCAGAGCTTCATCACATCCTCAAGCACAAGAATCTGGTGGACAAGTGAGTCCTTTGACCTTCTCCCGTTTTGCCTGGTGCTTCTTTCACACCTTTGCCAGTAGCTGTGCTGTGCTGGTACACAGTATACCCCTGGGGTGATCAAAAGTAGATGGTAGGACTGTCAACTGACACAAGAACCTTTAGTTAATTAATCAGTTAAAAGGCATCTAATTGGTTGCTTGATCCTTTGCTATTTTAAAAAAACCAAAATTCAACAGAGGCCTATTCTGAAGGAAGAACTTATTGAAAGCAGTCATTCATGGGTTTGAAGTAAAGGCTATCTACATTTTTTAATTCCCTTTCTAGTTGTAAGTAAGGAAGTTGCCTTTAATCTTCAAGCAGAACATTTCCTCTGCCCATATACTGATTCATTTCTGGTTAAAGCTTGCAGCCCTACCTGTTCAAAACTTTTTGAAGCTACACCACACTTATTAGGATTGCCAACCTCCAGCTGATGGCTGGAAATGTCCTGGGATTACCACTGATCTCCAGGCAGGCCCAGAGCTAGGAAATTTGGGGGGGGAGTGGGGGGGGCAAAAAGCTTCATGCATGTGCACCGATGTCATTTTCTGATGGTTTCCTTCTCCACAGGTTCCCACTCTTCACTGCTGTCTACCAGATTTGCTATGAAGGCAAACCTGTCTCTGATTTCATCAAGTGCCTGCAAAACCATCCTGAACACATGTAATTGGCCTCTAGACTTGTCCTGGCAAGGAAGAGGTGGGATTTTTGCCACTGCCATCCCTCAAAGAGGAGAAGGAGCCACCACGGACCACAGATGGGCATGGGAGTTTGCACTTAGGGCAAGCAGAGGAATTTGCACTAGGAATTCCTGAGGTCAGATGGAGTGACTGCATCAAGCCTCTGAGCAGGTTGTTCCTGCAATTCACCAGTCGTTGCTTTAGACCACTGTGAACTGGATTGATCCAGTCTCCTGCTTAGCTCTTGTCAGATTCTAGAGCATCCCCATACTCAGTTTCCACAGAAGGCAAAGCTTTAGCTTTTCTCTTCTCGCATGAGCAACGGCAGCCAAAATTTCCTTGGCTGGGTTCTTCTCTGTTCCATTGCTCTGCCTTGGTTTTCACTTCTCTTCTTGAGGGTTCAAACCTGAAACCCATTACTTTTATCTGCTCTAGGGGCTCACACTCTAATAATCTAATAACTCATAGCTTCCTGGATTTTTATTCCAGTATGAGAAGCACCCTCCATTCTTAGAATGAGCATTGGGCTCTTTCTGTCTAGATGAGAACATAAGAGACGTCAATGTTGGATCAGGCCAAAGGCCCATCCAGTCCAACACTCTGTCACACAGTGGCCAAAAATACAAGGTGCCATCAGGAGGTCCGCCAGTGGGGCCAGGACATTAGAAGCCGTCCCACTGTTGACCCCCTCCCCCCAAGCATCTCTGGTCTCCGTGGGAATGGGAATTCTAGCCCAGAATGTGAACGTTCAGTTTTGAAGAAATAAATGATCAGTGAGAAACTAATGCCTTTTGTTACTACCAAGTTTGAGTCCTGGCCTCCAGAATACACATGGCCTGAGAGGGACTGAGAGATACTGAAACTACACCATCCTGCCATGTTGTGAGGATAAAATGAAATACATGAGATTCATGTAGGCTCATATGTGAAAACACGCTTAAGGCACATACTCAAACATGATACTGGCTAAGGGGTGTATTTGGGCCTAAGCTTAGCTGAATTCAGCACACTTTTCATGAGGAGAAAACAGACTGAAAAGAATGCAGGTGAGTGATCATTTAACACTCCTCAAAACCTGGATGTGGATTTTTCATGCCTTCAGTACCTGCTAGGAAGCCAGGATAGGTACTCACACTAGCCTTTGTGAGAACAGAAATAGCCAGTTCTGCTTGTTCTGAATGTCCTAGTTAGATAGCGTTTGGAATAGCTTTTGTTTCTTGAGCAGAATTCTTCAGTGCTGAGGCCTTGACACAGGGAAGGGAGGAGGGCCTGTTCCTTTTCCCAAGGCTTTCCTACCACTGCTGCTTTCCTCATTCTGAAGTGACCTTTCCAGCCCTGCCCATCCCCCCGGTGGCAATTCAATCTGCCCGTGTGGCAGGAGGAGCTGTGCCTTTTATTAGACACTCAGAACTGCTGGACACTCTGTGACCTTTCCATTCAGCCAGCGAAAAAATAAAGGGGGGGGGGGAGAGAAGCTACTTATTCCACAGTCAAGAGCAAGGAGAGTTTGATTTTTACAAAATTTTCTACTATGTGAGTAGGGAGACAGCATTGCAATAATTAGGGTTGCCAGCTCTGGGAGAAGAAATCCCTGGAGATTTGGAGGGCGGAACCTGGAGAGGGACCTCAGCAGGGTATGCGGCCATAGAGTCCACCCTCTAAAGCAGCCATTTCTACAGGGGAAGTGATATTGGTCATCTGAAGATCAGTTGTAATAGTAGGAGATCTCCAGGCCCCACCTGAAGATTGGCAACCTTACGTGTCCAGTCTTGTACATTTAGAGACCTTTCTCCCGGCTATCATGATAGCTTCCTTTTTCCTCCCAGAGAAATATTTAATTGCTTTGGGGGAGGTTCCATGCCCTCCATGGTCCCACCCTCTTCTGCTCCCTTGATTTCACAAGGAGGGTCCCTTTGCTCAAGAAACTGCACCTCCTGTAAGCGGCCTCAAGCACTGACAGATGCATCTGCCTCAGGAGTCAGAACACAGAACTAAGACTGGAGACATCTGTGTTCAAATCCCCCCACTCGTGTCAAGGCCAGTCTCACTCTCAGCCTGCCCTACCTTAAGGGTTTGGTAGGATAAAATAGGGGAGGGAAGAACCTGGGTCTTTTACCCCGAACTCCTTGGAGGAAGGGTGAGATAGAAGATCGTTGTGAGCCACGTGTTGTAAGAGAGTCCAAAGGAACTAGCCCAGCAGATTTCTTTAAAAGCTACTTAATTTTTGCCTGCCCGCCTCTCCTGCTGACAGGAATGAACTGCATATGAACACAAGTAGTGAACCACTAGGTGGCACCTCACAATGAACAACTAGGGAGATTTAGATCATTTTCACAAATGGTACCAGACAGAGGCTGGTGGGGGGAGATTCAGATCAGGGTTGTGGCACTGCGGAGGGGGTGATTGCTCACATTCCCTTGCCCTCTTTCTGTCTGTGTGTCTCCTCTCTCTCTCACACACACACCCCAACTGCTATTTGCCACACACACACACACACACACACACACACACACACACACACACACACACACACATATATTTTTTTATATATATATATGCAGCCTTTAGTTGCTCCCACTTAGGGATTCCAGCGTCCAGGTGGGAGCTCATCTCTAGACTACAGAGATCAATACCTCAGGAGAAAATGGATGCTTTGGAGGGTGGGCTCTGTGGCATTGTGCCCCACTGAGGTGTCCCTGTCCTCCCCGGGCCCCATCCCCAAATCTCCAAGAGCTCCCCAACCTGGATCTGGCAACCCTGCCCTGCCCATCCCCCACTGGTGGCCAGGGGGGATCTGGCAGCAACCCTACTCCCACTTGTAACAGTAGGAGGAAGAAAGCTGTCATGATGCAGGCTCTGGCGGGTTGCAAAGCAGCGTTTACCCACAGGAAACAGTCTCCAACTCCGAAACTCTCCAAGGTCTCATTGACAATCTCCATGCCCTTTGCAGCTGCTATAAAAAGACTCCCCTTTGCCATTTGGAATTATATTCTGCTAACACAGCAACATGTTCAGAGCTGTTCTGTCTTAAGACGGAGCAGGTCTAGCATATAATAAAGGCGATCTAATTTTTACTGGGGCAGAAAATGTTCTGGTGTTGACCCCACAACTGTAGGAAGCAGCCATTTTGAAAGTGTTCTATTCTACAGGAAATGCCTCTCCCCTGCTCTGAGGAACAGTCAGCCTTCCAATCCTACAGGTCACTACAGTAGCAAGCAACTGCATATTCCTACTTCATGCAATAAGCAGTGCTATAGGGATACATCCATCCATTTGGAAAAAAGCCAGTAATGACAAGAAGAAAACATTAGGCCCAGCCAGACTCCCTCTCTGTGCATTAGGGTTGTTATCTCCGGGTTGGGAAATACCTGGAGAT